CTCCCCCTGCTTGTGTTCCTGCTCTCGCTATCTCTGTCTCTGTCAAATAAGTAAATAAAATCTTTAAAAAAAAAAAAAATTCTTGCTGATGTTGAACATCATTCCGTAAGGTGAGGAAGGCACAAGTATAATGGAAAGACTTACATTTTAAAATAACTGGACATCTTCTTTTCTGTATGGCTGTGCTAGCAATTCAGATACCAAGTTAATTTCCTTTGCTTTATTTAGTTTGCTTTTATGTTTCTGACTTAAAGAGGTTAAACACTGTCATGGCCCCAAAGTCGAAACTACAAAACAAGGTACATTCAGCAGGTGTAACCGCTAGAGTCTGCTCCTCCCCACTTCCCCCCAGGCTACTGTTTTACTAGGCCCCCCCTTATCCTTCCTGCATTTTAATTTATGTTTCCCCCACCTTTCTTATGCAGAGGTAGCACACAGTAAACACTTTTCTGGGCCTTGATTTTTCCTTTTTTTTTTTTTAAGATTTTATTTATTTATTTGAGAGAGAGAATGAGAGACAGAGAGCACGAGAGGGAAGAGGGTCAGAGGGAGAAGCAGATCCCCCGCTGAGCAGGGAGCCGTGATTTTTCCTTTTTAATTAGCTGTAAATCGTAGCTGTCACTGCAGAATGTATCTTTTTCTTAACGGTTCACACTCCACCATGTGGATAATGCATCTGTTGAGAGGCTCCTGGGAAGTGTTCGGTCTTTGCTCTTACACAGAATGCTGTAGTGAAAAGCCCGGTATGGATATTGGTTTGTATTTCTGCCACTGGATCGTTAGGGCATGGCCCTGGAAGTAGCGGATTCCTAGGTAAAGGGCAAATTCACATGCAATTTTGCTAGGTATTGCCACATTTCTTTCCAAGGGGGTTGCACCTTCTTGCACCCCCACCCGCTCCTCGCTAACTGAATACAGTAGGTGATTCGACTTTTCATTTCTAGAAGTTCCATCTGGCTCTTTTCCAAATCTGCTAGGTCATTCATGCTTTCTTTTTCCCTACAGCTCCACACTTGTCTTTTTATTCCTTTAAACAAAGTAAGCATGATTGGGGTAGAGTCTGACCCTGACAGTTCTGACTTTCTGAGCCTGTTTCTGCTGTGGGTTGCAGCTGCTGGTGCCCACCCGTGGTGCCTTGCTCATTTTTCACTGTATGCTGGTCGCTGCCCTTGAACAGTTGTTTATGGGCTCCTTAAAGCCTAGGATAAATGCCTTTCCTCCGGAGGATATGCATTTGCTCTGCCAGGCACCGCGGAGGACTACAAGTCTAGGGATCCCCGACAATTGAGGTCATAGAGGGAGGTTTCCTCATGCTGTCAACAGGGGTGAGTTCTGGTCCCTGTCCCTCACTTCTCAGGAACAAGACTTTCCTTTCATTTTATCCCCCATGCTCTGCTTGGTGCTGGAGCCACCTTCCCTGCAGTCTTCTGTTTTTACTGAGGGTGTATGATAGCCCTTGACATGGCAAAATAGAGAGGGGGTCTCCTAGTAGACCCTTACCTTGAACCCTTAACCCCTGAGACCCTCAGGGCAAAGGGCTTCAGTGCACCTTAGCTGCCTTTTGGTTGCTGCCCCCCCGCCTCCCCGCCAGCATTTGACCTGGAAGTTCTTTACAACCTGTTGGCTCTTCCATACTTCAAGGTATTTCTGCATTTTATCCAGCATTTTTAGTTAAAGCAGAAAGGTTGGTCCGAAAGATCTGGCCCATCACGACCAGAGATAGAAGTTCTACCATGCACTTTTTAAAAATTAGCTTTTAATTAGCCGAGTGACAAGAATACATTGTCCTTGTAAACAAGTAAACTGTGTGCAATATTGGCTAGTAGATCTGTCAAAAGTGGGCTTCTCTTCTAGTAGTCAGGGGCTAATTCAAGTCTTGCCTTTCATTATGACTCGGAATGGTTCTTTTCATTAAAAACTTAAAACGAGGGCGCCTGAATGGCTCAGTTGGTTAAGCGACTGCCTTCGGCTCAGGTCGTGATCCTGGAGTCCCGGGATCGAGTCCCACGTCGGGCTCCCTGCTCAGCAGGGAGTCTGCCTCTCTCTCTGACCCTTCCCCCTCTCATGCTCTCTATCTCATTCTCTCTCTCAAATAAATAAATAAAATCTTTAAAAAAAAAACAACAACAAAAAAAACTTAAAACGAAATTGAAACTTTAAAACAACAGAGATAGGGCAAGGTCTCCTTTGGCCATTACCCCATTTCCAGGACATAAAACTTGACACCTACCCTCCACCACCATCTTGACTTCTAACATCATAGATTACTTTCCAAGAGATGTTTTCAAATTAGGAAAACAGATCATAAAAACTTGATTTCCATCTTCTCTTGAATACTCAGAAGTTCTGGCAACATTCACCTTGGCCTGGATGCCCAGATATGGCTACCCTAGAATTTCCCCAGTTTGACACAGCACTTGGTAACCCCCGGTGTCTAATTCTGGAAGCTTCTTCACCCATTGACAACACCCGCCTGGTCTCTAAAGACATCTGAATTTACAACTCCTAGTTGGCCAGTCCTCTCCTGAGGCTATTCAAGCAGTTTCTGGATTTTTCTTTAAAAAAAAAAAAAAATACTGCACCCAGCATTTCCATAGGGGTGTGTGTGTGTGTGTGTGTGTGTGTGTGTGTCCGAGAACACTGAAAACATACGCCCACACAAAACCTTGTACACAAATGTTCATAGCAGAAACGTTCATACAAGCCAAAGCATTCAAGTGTCCATCGACCAATGAATGGATAAACAAAATGTGACACATCCATACAATGGGGTATTATTTGGCCGTAAAAGGTGATGAAGTGCTGATTCATGCTGCAACGTGGATGAACCCCATACACATGATGCTAAGTGAAAGAAGCCAGTCACAAAAGACCACGTCTGTATGATTCCATTTATATGAGACGTTCAGAACAGGCAAATCCAGAGAGACGGATAGTAGATTGGTTGCCGGGGGCTGCAGGGGAGAGGGGGAGAGGGTACTAGTGGGTGCAGGATTTCTTTTGGGGAATGATGAAATGTTCTAAAATAAGGAGTGGTGATATTTGTTTGCACAACTCTGTAAATATACTACAACCACCAAATTGTGCACTCGAAATGAGTGAATTGGGTAAGTGAATTCTCTCTCCATAAAACTGTTACTTAAAAGAACAAACTATACTGCTATGAACATCCTTGAACACCCCTTTTGGGTTCTGGGATTGCTGGGCCGTGGGGCCATTATATTTTTCCATTTCTCCAGAGTGGCTAAACTAGTTATCTACATAAACAGTGTGATCATTGTTTCTTCAGACCATTAGCTACTTCCAATTTTGCCAATCTGATGGGTAAATGGAAATCATGGCATCTCTTTTTAATTTGTATCTCTTTTTAATTTCTATTTCCCTAGTTACCAGTTTTAGAATCTTTTTTTTTTAATTGGTCGTTTGTATTTTCGATGAACTATCTGTTCCTGTCCCTCACTCATTTTTTTATTGGGATGTCTTTTGATTAATTTGTAGTTTTTGATACATTCTCTATAGAAATACTTCGCTTTATGCTCCACACAAATTTTCTCATATACAAATTTTTAATGTACGTATAAAATACTCATTAGCAAGAGCCTGGCACATAATTAGTAAACAGGAAATATTTCTCATTTTAATAGGTGAAAAGGCAAGAATTGGTAAAGGTGTAAAGAGTCCACGTACACCTACATTTTTAATAAGTTGACTTAATTACTCACGTACTACTAGAAACACCGCCAAAGAAAGTCGGGGGCTCTCGTGGCTCTATTTCCTCAATTTTTCCTTCCTCCCTCCCGTCCCCTCCTTAGTCCTCCCCTCCCCTTGTCTGTCACCTAGTCATTCATGGCAAAAACCACCTTGGGTCTGAGAGGAGCTAGGCCCTAACTAGTCCCTGGAAATTTGGTCCTTCTGGGACAGAGCCATGCTCACAGACCTCCTCTAACTACACAGAGATAGGAGAGCTTCTTTCCCATGCTTTTCAGAAACACTTGGACCAGAGTTGAACACCAAGCACAAGCCAAGTGCTCATCTCCTTAGTTTCATGGGTGTGTCCCACCACGACAGGGAAGCAGATATTTACTTTTACTTTTTTACTTCAGTTCCTGATCTGACCTCAGCAGATAAACACATAAACAGGGAACACAATCAACCAAAAATAACGAAATCAAAGTCAAAGAAAGAGCAATTTCCTTTCTAGTTCATGGCTCTCAAAAGCAGTTTAAAACCCGATTCCTGAGAGGCTGGCTTGCAGGCCGGTTCCTCCCCATCCACTGCAGCTCTGGGAACCCAGCTGAGCACTGCCGGGGCCCAAAGAAAGCCACAGGCTTGCGCGGCTGAGAAAGCCCAGGTGGTCGGGACCCTTTCCAACCAAGGATGGCCCCTACGCTGCAGCTGCATCAGCTCATACTCCTTACCTCGAAGGATGCCCTGAACCCCAGACTTAAACACACACACACACACACACGGGAATTTATTGGGCAGGCTGGTTTGGTCTGGTCTCCCAGGTCATGGCGTGTGGCCAGGAATAGAAGGGTAGACAAACCACAAGGTTCAATTTCATCCCCACAAGTTCATCTTAGCCCGTTATTGCTCACTGTTCGCGGTGTCTCTCATGCCTCATTTCTAGCCCAGGGGAGCTCAGTGTCATCATTTCCTTCCCAAAACTAGTAAATGAGAACTCAAAGCAGATAGCTTCCATCGTGTGGAATGACAAAAACAGAGGGAAGCAGACAGACTTGCGGGGCCGTCAGGGTGGAGGGGATAAGGTCGGCAGTGTTTCTGTTAAGACAAGTGCCTAAAATTGTATTCAAACTTCTTACCACTGCAGACCCACAAGGAAACCACTGCCGCTCAAAACATTGACTATGTTTTAAAAATAGTCCATAAAGTCTATAAAGCTGTTTAGAAAAAAATTTATTTGAACATATGAAAGGAAAATTTAGACCCCAATAAAACAGAGGAGCTCTTGGGCCGGACGGGCAGTCCTCGAGTGGCCCCCTGCCCTGCTCCCTGCCCGGCCCACGCCGGGCCCCAGCTTCGAGCTCACGGAGCTCCCAGGGACACCGGGTGGCAGGGCCGTCACATTCCCGCGCACAGACGCCAAAGGGACTTGCAAATGCTGCTCATCGCAGTTCTGCTCAGGGCAGCACGGGCTCCTGGCGCGTCTGAAACGACCCACAGACACCGGCCGGTGGAATCGGCGACTCGGCAGGACGCCCACGTGGCTGGGCGGGCGCCTTCCATCCTTCCTTCCATGCCTCCCATCTGGACTTCTGTGATCGTGACCCGGCGGGGAGGGCCCCCGGGCTGCGACGCTGCGCAGCTCCCGCACCAAGACAGTCCCGCCGGGGACGAGGGGCCGCCGGCTGCCCCCGAAAGGTCCTCTTCGATGGGGCGGCTCCCCCCTTCTCTGGAAGGCTTCCTCTGGCCCGGGCGGAGGGCACACTGCCCCTCGGCGGCACCGGGGCCGGCCTAGCGGATGGGCCTGAACGGGAAGCTCATGCCCGACATGAACGTGTGCCCCGGGTGCGTGGGCAGGGCGGGGTGGGCCGGCACGGCCCCGTAGCCCAGCGGGGGCGTGTGGATGTGAGGGTAGAAGCCGGGGGGCAGCGCCGCGTGGGGTGCCTGTTGCACGGGGCCCGAGATCACCAGCTGGAGCAGGCTGCGAATACAAGGACAAGGGTGAGGCGCACGGCGGCTGGGCGGGCCTGTCCCCTCGTGGATGCGGTGCCCCCAGAAGGGAGAGGGGGCCTGGGCACCGCCGAGGCCTCACACATGCACAGCGACAGGCACCGATGCAGGCACAGAACACGGAGGTTTCCAGAGGGGGAAATCTGTCAACTTGGGGCAGATGGGGGTGGCTTGTTGGGGGGGGACCAAGCAGAAGGTGACCTGGAGGGCGCCTGGGTGGCTCAGTCGGTTAAGCGACTGCCTTCGGCTCAGGTCATGGTCCCAGGGTCCTGGGATGGAGTCCCACATCGGGCTCCTGGCTCAGCAGGGAGCCTGCTTCTCCCTCACACTCTGCCCCTCCCCGCTCCTTGTGCTTGCTGTCTCTCAAGCAAATAAGTATTTTTTTAAAAGAATATAGTAGGGCGCCTGGGTGGCTCAGTTGGTTAAGTGACTGCCTTCGGCTCAGGTCATGATCCCAGGGTCCTGGGATCGAGTCCCACATCGGGCTCAGCGGGGAGCCTGCTTCTCCCTCTGACCCTCTCCTCTCTCATGCTGTTTCTCTCTCGCTCACTCTCTAATAAATAAATAAATAAAATCTTTAAAAAAAAAAAAAAAGGTGACCTGGAGGTGGCAGGATTGAGACCGGCCCGAGACAGAGGGGCCGGCAGTAGGAAAAGTAGGATCCTGCAGGTGACAATTCGAGGGGAGGGAACTGAGGAAACCACAGGGCAGGTGCCCAAGGCTGGGCAGGGACAGGACTGCGGAGGGGGGTCTGCAGCAGGGCTTAGAGTCCACGGAAGCTCTGGGCACAGCCTCAGCATCTGTGGCCTGGGTTCAGCCCCAGCTACCTACGCTTGAGAGGGTTATGACCTTGCACACGGCAAGCACACAGCAGCTCAGTGTTCTCAACCTCACTCGTCATGACAGTCCCAACTGAACTGCAAGCACAGCCACATGAAAGCAGGCCTTTCGGAGACTCTGACATGAGCATGGGATGGGCCCCGCCCTCAGCATGACCCAGGCCCAGACCCAGCCCTTACCCACCTTTAGGGGCCACCCCCCCTCCCTCTCTGCAGAACTCCCAACCCTGCTGCTTACTTGCTCCTTCACTTCTGGGATGAGAGCCTTCTGCAGCCACACTGCAGCCCTACCCATCACACCCAGGGTCTCCGCAGGAGGACCCCGTCACTCCTTCGCCAACTCCCTTCCACCCACGACCACCCCAAGCCCTGGGAGCCATGCGCCCCCTCGGGCCTGCTCTCTCCTGCCTGTGGCTCAGGACCCATCCACGGCCTCAGCCTTCCCCCTGGAATCCCTTTCGGTTTCCAATACTGGTCCCTTCGGAGACTCCCTGAAGAGTTCCTCTGATTGGTCCCATCCTCTCCAACCCCACATTCCCTCCCAGCGAGATCAGCAGATTCCTAATTTCCCCACCACCACGAGCTTCCCAGGCCTTAGCTGGCCCACATCCTGCAGTCAACCCCAAATACCCAATTATGCCCTAATCAGAGAAACTTCTGCCCTCTCTTCTTCAGGACAGAGGCCTCCTTTCCCAGCCCTGCCTCTCCCCTTTCCTCCCTGAGGACAGACCAGCTCTGCTCGTGCTCTCCAGCCACACCCCAGGGTCTCTGCAGTGTCTAAGCTGGTCTCTCCACACCACCAAATCTGCCTGCCAGGCCCTGTTCACGCCCATCACTCAACCTGAGGACTTCCTCATCCCATGAGGCCACACCTTCCCTGCACATGGCCCTGCTTGACCCAGGAACAATCCCAGGCCAGTTTGCCCTGGCTACTGTCAGCCACCCACCTGGAGCTCTGAGAGCGGGGGCTAAGTCTTCTGCAGACTGACGCTAACCCCCTCCCAGCCCCTGAGTAGAAAGTCTGGTGCTCAGAGCCCACGGGAAGGGCTCAGAAAGTAAACCAAAGGCGCGAAGAAAGCTGGTGGCCTGAAGCTCTTCGGAGCCCCTTTTCATTTATATTACCACTTTTTTATAACTTGGGGTGAGAAAGTCACTCAAAATAAGCAAACAGAGAAATAAATCTAAGGAGGGTATTACAGAAGCAAAATTTAAGTCATGTAAGTTTGGCTGAATCCGCATACCCTGCCAGAGATAAAAGGGGTTTCAAGAAGTTTCCAGTCTAGGGACACTTGGGTGGCTCAGTCGTTAAGCGTCTGCCTTTGGCTCAGGTCATGGTCCCAGGGTCCTGGGATCAAGCCCTGCATCGGGCTCCCTGCTCCGCAGGAAGCCTGCTTCTCCCTCTCCCACTCCCCCTGCTTGTGTTCCCTCCCTCGCTGTCTCTCTCACTCTCAAATAAAATCTTAAAAAAAAAAAAAAAGGTTCCAGTCTATTCAGAAAGATAATTAACAGAAAAGAGACTATCAGAAGTCAAAGAAGTTTTCCAAGTGGCTCCGCGTCTGGTCTTTCCCCACGTTGCTGCCAGGCTGCCCCTGGGAGGCCGGGTTTCAGGACGCACAGGTCAGGAGGACAGGGCCCAGCTTAGGCTGTGAAGACGTTCCACTGGGACTCTAATGCGGACCCCTGGTCGTAATGCTAAGACGAGAAAGGCCTTAGACCCTATACTGCTCTGAAACATTACATGTTAGGTAACAGCTGTGCACAGAACAGGGAAATGGTACAGAGAGATTATTGCAAAAGGAGCAGAAAAATGCCAACTTAGTAACTATGTCCTGAGATGCCAGGGAATTTTTCTAGAGCCCATGGGGGAAAAAAAGAAAAAAAAAAAAGGGACAGTGTGGGCTCCTGAGGGGCAGGTGGCCCTCTGGACAAGCTGTCCATTCTGCTGACAGGATACGTCAAGTGGGACCATTATGTTCCACCAGGAGCCAGCACACTCCACCTATTTGGTTTCCGGATCGGCCCAGATACCCGCCGAAGCTGCCCTCCCACCGCAGGGCCCGGCGCCAAGATCCCCAACCGTCCTTGGGCCGCAGCTACTCTCGCGTCAGCCCGTGGGCCGGCATCCGGCCGCTCCTCTGGCCTCAGGTGATGCGCGGTATCAGCCTGCCACACGTGCCCAGACTCGCCGGCCCTGGCAGAGGCGGCGGGCCAGGCCCTGGGCAGCTGTGGGCTCACCCTCTGCCCACTGCCTGCCAACGCCAGCCCTGGAGCCCCAGCCCCTCTGTCCCCGATAAAGGCCAGTGTGAGCCTCAGAAGAAAGGAGAGTGTTAGAAATCCTACCAACTTCACTCCACTGTTTCCTGTCCCTGTGCACACTAGGAGGGGGTTCTGCGCTCACCTACACTTTCTCCCTTAGTGGCCACAGTCGCTATTTGGAGTGGATACATAATTTCTGTCCTTCTGATGTATCACTCCTAATTTACTAAGTATCCGCACGCTTCTGGACCACGAGGTTGCTTCTGGTATTTTGCTACTAATAATACTACATTTGCCTGAAACGTTTCCGCACACACAGCTTTTGCTTCTTAGAGTCCGTGAAATTAATTAGATTAAGTGACATTCATACGTTATGACAATAATAGTAAGCGGAACAGCAGCTAATACTTCTTAGATACTTGCTACACACCAAGTATGCAGCAAAAACACAAGAACGCTGTTCCAAGCACTTTGTGTTTTTACTCTCGTCCTCACAAAAATCCTATAAGGGGTGGGGGCAGGAGAGGCAGGGGGACGTGAGGCAGGTACGATTATTTTCTCGATTTTACAGACAAAACAAGGCAGTGGAAGATCAGGAACGTGCCCAGGGTCATACAGAGAGCAAGCAGCCAGCCCGGACCTTTCCCCAGGAGCCGTGTGACCACACAGCCCTGCCCTTCACCACTGTTCGCACTGCTTCTCCCAAATGATGACAATAAGCACCATTTACGCTCAGAGTCCCGCGTGCCAGGGACCAGGACCTCATTTAATCCTCACTACAACCCTGTGACACGGACGAATAATACCCCTAGCTGTACCAGGGAGGAAACCGAGGCTCAGAGACAGGAGAAGCGACTGCCCAAGCATCACGGAAAACTGGTGAGAATCATGCTCAGAACCCACTCAGTGCTGCCACCCATCGGCAAAGCCTGATGGACACACGCTGTGCCCTAGGGGCGCGGCTCGGCAGGATTTCCCAAAGGGCTGTGCCACCCACACTGTCACCCACAATGTGTGTGCACGAACGTCGGAAGTCACCCCGAACCATGTGTGCTAATTTAGCGAGTGACTAAATGACTCTGAGCTGACTCTGGTTTCTTCCCTGGACTCCCAGACAATATGGCCACACCTCTTCGATTTACTCTCCCCTTGGGCTTTCTGATCATGTGGGTCACGCTATCCTATCCCCGACTTACGATCAGGTCCTGAGGGGGCTCCTTACATACAGAAGCTCTAAACCCTGCAGCCCAACTCTCCCCAAGGAGGCCAGGATAAGGGGTCCACCCCCAGCCCAGCCCAGCCCCAAGTCTTTGAGAGCACTTACTTATTATGGGGCAGCCTGGAGCACAAGGTTCTCAGGTCATCTGAAATCAAGGAGATACATAGTAAGGAACAGACTGGAAACAACAAGGTGAAACGTTCCCTGAGTCCTTCTCAAGGATGCTGGCAAGACGGCGATAGCGTCTTAACTACGTTTTCCTTGCGTCACTTAGAAACTGCGTTCTCTCTTCCTTCGATTCTTGCTTTAACTAGGCCCCAAATGGAATACATGACTCAGGAAGGGAGGGAGGTCTATCGGCCACTTGTCAGATGACTGGGAAAGGGCCAGGGGCAGGGCTCCCGCTGAGCGGATCAGCTGCCCAAGGCACTAAGTGGGAAACGCACCACAGAGACGACCGCCTGGGGCCACAGGCGACGTCTTCAAGCCCACAGTCCCTAAACCAGCACAGGTGTTACTGGACACGGGGAGCCCTCCAGCACTGAAGTGCAGGCGAATCACAGACCTGGAAACAGGTGATGGGAACGCTTCAAGCACGTGAACCTGTGCACTGTGTTGTGTAACTTATGCCTCAGTAAAAAAGGGCTGCAGGAAAAGAAAAGATTCTCTACGAGGAAAGATGGTGAAGAGTCCCTGGTCCCGGGCAAAGCAGCCGGGAGACGCAAGACATCACGGCTGGTGCTCTACCTGGGTCCGCTCTGCGACTTCACCCTGGTCCCGTGCTAAGAGGAAAGAGGTCGTAAAAGAGCAGAGAACAGCTATTCGTCGGGGACTCCCTGCTTTCCTTTGGGCGGTGGCGGCAGCCCCGCCCCCGGGAGGGCCCGGGCCAGGGAGTCACCCACCTCTCGTGCACAGCAGTGCCCCAGAGGCCATGGCCACCTGCAGGGCCTGCGCCAGCCGGTCCAGAGAGAGCTCGATCTCCTGGGAGGCGTTGAGGGGGTTCAGTTCATCCGCCAACCTGTTGATCTCCTCTACCAGCGGGACCATGTGGTCAAACAGGATGAGGCCCAGGCGCCCGTAGAGATTCTTCTCGGTTAAGTGCACCTGGAGCATCATGAGGACCTGCAGGACGCTGAGGTGGAGTTTCGAGTATAGGAGGTGGGAGTCTCTGTCCATCCCTCCCGAGTCCTTTGTAACTTTGGTAGTGACGTGGCCATTAGACAGGGAGGGCTTCTTCTTCCTTTTATAAGCCAGAGGGGCCTTCACACACCAGCAGATCAATCCAGTGAGCGGGGTGAGCTCTAAAAATCCTATTGGGAGATTGGTTGCAATCGGAGTATTTAAAAAAGTGATGAGAATCAACCTCGGGTCCTCAAAAATCCAGCTGACAATCATTTCAAGCAAGTCCAACGGTGGGATGAGGTCATCTGCCAACAAAGACACTTTAAGTCAGATGTGTTTGTAGCCCCAGTGACGTAAGTGGATGGCGGAGAGATGGACCCCCCTACGGGCACAGTACTCGGCACCTGACATTCAGACTACATGCTCTGCTTATCTATTTTCTGTCCCCTTTCTGAGAACATCCCCTCTGTCAGGGCTGGGGCTCCCATCTTAGTCAGTGATTCTCCCCAGAGCCAGGACTGTTTGGCCACGGTAGGGTTCGAAAACATTTTTTTTTTTTTAAGATTTTTTATTTATTTATTTGAGAGAGAGAGAATGAGAGACAGCGAGCACATGAGAGGGGGAAGGGTCAGAGGGAGAAGCAGACTCCCCGCTAAGCAGGGAGCCCGGTGCGGGACTCGATCCAGGGACTCCAGGATCATGACCTGAGTCGAAGGCAGTCGCTTAACCAACTGAGCCACCCAGGCGCCCTCGAAAACATATTTGTTAAATCAACAATTCCCCAGAACTCCACCTCGCCTTGAAGTTTGTCCCCTGGGTCAATTTAAATAGATTCCCACACTCTTTATGTCCCAAACTGCCACACCTCAGACTCTCCCAGAGAGTAGGGTCTGTCCCTCTGGTGGCGTTCCCTCTGTGGCCCAATGACAGCTACTGTGGCCTTCACAGAGCAGCTCAGGTGCGGTCAATGGTCAGTCGGCTGCCAAGAGCCATCTCAGCCCCAGATCTGGAATCTTTGTCTAAGCCTGACCTCCTGTGACCCTGGAGACCTGGCACATTCTACGGCCTGGACAGGGAACAATAAAAACAAATGCTGACGTTTATCTCAGGTTTACTACGTGCCAGGCTCTGGTCTAAATCCTTTACACAGATCAACTCACTCCTCCAACAACCCACCTGTTATTGGAAGGAGGAGGCACAGGGTGATATTAAGTCACGTCCCCAGGACTCATGAAAAGTGTGTGGTGGGCCCACATGTGGCCCCAGAGGGCCTGGCTCTGAAGCACTCGGCTGCACTGCCCCCCGGAACTGGCACACAACGCCCTGAAGTTGTCTACGAGCGTGGGAGTGGGTCCCCAGCCTCCTGTCCCTGGGGCTGTGCAGCCCTCAGCTCACAGAGAGCTAAGGATGACGGGACCTCTTCCGGGATGCTGAAGCCAGAGCCATCACGAGACAGGAGTGTGGGGTGAGTGAGACATTTGTGGGTGGAGGCTCCTCTTTCTCCAGAGACATGGCCCTTCTTCCCTGAGATCATGCCTACCTACTGACCGGGTGTTCGACTGCGCCCTGCCCTTCTGTTGTAAATGAGGACAACAGTAGGTAGCCGCTGTCGTCCATGATCTTCACTTGGCAAAATACACGGTGGGGGACCCCACGTCTGGCCCCTCGAGCCCCCTGAGGGGTTTCTGTCTGAGGAATGCCAGTCTCACACCCGCACGTCCAGAACACCGCCCTCTCAGCCGTCCCCCTCCACACACACACATCTGGGCAGAGGTGTCTCCAAGAGCCGGAAAGCCGCATGGGCCCGGTGTACAGGGAGCGCGTGTGCTTGAGCGAATCACCTCCACGACCTTCCTACTCCAAGACCCAAGTTCTCTGCACCATTTGGGCAAGAGAAGGTTGTCTCCTGAGGTGAGCTGCTTCCGTCTTGTGACTTTGGAGGCACAGACTCCCCAGGAATGCTGTCACCAAGAGATCAGTCACCATCCTGACTGTGGACGCCAGCTCCGCCTCCAGGGCTACCACCAGGCGCCCACTGACCTCCCCATCTCCAAACTGACCAAGCTGGATATGTTAAAGATGCACAGCTTTTGGTACATCAATCATACCTCCATAAAGTGGTTGTAAAACAGTCACCAACACGTCAGACGGGCAAAGTGCCTTAAGAGAAAAACACCACGGCTCACATCCATTCTAGAATGCTGGCGGTATGCTCTGAACATTACTGCCTTTTGCACACTGTTTAATCTGTCCCAGGGAATTGCCGTCCTTGTTGGTCTGGAATAACTGATGGCTTGGAAAAGCCACCGTGATACTGTACAATGGGTTTAATGAAACCTTTTCTACGGGAAAACAGAAGGCCTGACTCCTGTCCCCAGCTAGGAACAGCTCTGAGGAAGCCTTTGCAGGAGAGCACCAGGGAACAGCCTACTCTAGCAGCAGGGCACCCACCACTCACAACACCTGCCTCCCAGCCCAGGGGCACACTGCCGGGACAGAAATGGTTTGAAAGTACATGTGCCTATGATATGCACTTCAGTGTTCACACTCTGTCCACATAAACTTTCCTAACAGAACTAAAAAACTGAACGGCAGTGGAAAAAAGGTACAAATAAAAGGAGAATCAAATATAATCCCGGTGCCGCTGGACCGAACACAAATGGAAATGTTGCTGAAGGCTCTCCAGCTGCTGGTTTAGCCATCAGAGCAGAGTAAGAGACCATCTGTCAGCCCTCTGAGCGGCAAGAGCTGAGGGCAAAGGAGGAGGAACCTGAAACAGAAGAGCAGGCTTGGAGTCCAGCTCTGCAGAAAAAGTGCTCACCATGGTGAGGCCCGAAACTTCCCCATGTGGAAATCCAGGACCAGAGCCCCTGCCCAGGGGCCGCATGGGCTGTGGGGCTCACACAAGGACACAGACGTGAAAGGACGCTATGTTCCACAAAGTGTTGTTTATCAATCCATGTTCCTTGGAACCCACCCCTGTGGGAGGCAAGCAGGCAGCAGAGCCTAGTGAGCGTGGGTCTGAGACTCCTGCTCTAATTCAACCAGAGCTGGTCAACCTGTATTGGTTTTCTTTATTCGGAGCCTTCATAAAATGATCTGACCAGAGGGCTCTGATGCTGGACAGGGGACAGGGGCTTCTCCCACTTGAAGTCAAATGCCATCTGTTGGCTGCCCCGAGGACTTCGCCTGGCATCTTCCGAAGAAGCCTCAAAAGCGTCACCACGGTAGAAGCGACATGCATGCCTCCTGGCGCAATGTGCCCAGGACACATCACCGCCTAGGCAGCATTGTTGCCAAAAATGTTTAACTTGAATCTTGAACAAGGAAACAATCAGATAAATCTAAATTGAGGGACATTCTGCAAAACAACAGGCCCGAGCTCTTCAAAAAACATCAATGTCCTAAGAGATTTTTTTTAAATGCTTCATCTGTTCAAAATTTAAAAAGACCAAAGTGACATGACAACTATGTATAATGTAGGATCCCCGATGGGATCCTGAACTCTCCTGACCCTTCAAAGCGGGGGGAGGGAAAAGGCTATAAAAGATATTACTGAGACAGTTAAGGAAATATGAACATAGGCTATATAAGAAATAACAGAATTCCCTCGATATTTAATTTCTTAGGCGTGATAATGGTACCATGGGCTATGTAAAGGAAAGCTCTTTTTCTTGGGGGAGAGATACGCGCTTAAGGACTTGGTACATGATGCTGATAACAAACTCTCAAAAGTTCAGGAAAACCAAATACTTTGGAGTGTGTGTGTGAGAGGGGAAAAGGAAGAAAGTCAGAGAACATGGCAAGTGTTAACAGGGGGTGAATCTAGGTGAGAGTCTCCCAACTTATAACAGTCTCAAACCTTCCTGAAGTTTTGCTATTTTCCAAAATAAAAAATGAGGGATGAAAAAAGCAAGTCACGTCTGGGGAGAAACCACATCTTCCCCAGACATCAGATGCCAGCACTTTCAGGCTGCCTGCCACTCGGACCATCCCTGAGCGAGGCAAGTGGGAGGCACCAAGGAAAGCTCCCCTGCTGGCAAATTCCAGAAGTCCAGGTGGTCCCTTCCTTTCACTTTCAGCCTAAAAGAAAACACACATTTCAGAGAAAGAAAAAAAAAGGCCAAAGCGACCCCTGGGCATTTCGCCTGGGTGTTCAGTGGAAATAAAAGTGGCAGTCGCCTGAGCTGCTTTAACGGCCCGTCTGGAGTTTACCTGAGGATAGGTCATATAGCGCGGTGACGGAGGTGATGAGCTGGCAGCAGAATCGAGGGCTGGCACTGAGTATCTGCTTCAGCGTCTGCACGGATCCTGGCACCAGACAGCAGTAGTCATCCACGAGGGCCCTGGCTAACCTCACGCAGTAGACCACAGGCGTCCGCTGGAAAGAAGCCACAGTCCATGTAACTACAGGTGTCGTGAGCTAGCGGGTGACAACGACGTATGCATGGTGGAGACCATCGAGCTGGCAGCACCGCTCCCAAGAAGGGAAAAAGATGTTCGGAGCTCAGTCTGAAGCCGGGCCGGGACAAACTAAAGCCCACAGGCCCAATCCATCCTGCCACCTGCTCTTTGCAAATAAACTTCTACTGATACATGCATCTGCTCAGCTGTTTGCTTACTGTGTAAGGCTGCTCTCTACACTGCAAGGGCAGAGGTGAATGCTTGTGATGGACTATATGATCTGCAGAACCTAAAGCATTTACTGTCTTGCCCTGCACAAAAAAGGCCTGCTGACTCTTGCTCTGAAGTTCACTTAGGAAAGGTAACTTCTGACTTCAGGCGACGAAATGACAACTTCTGTGACCCTCCAGGTGAGACTCCAAAGGCAGAAATGAGCAGCTGGTACCACTTTAAAGAGCTTGCGGAGAGTTTGTGAGCACTCCTGTGATTCTAGAGCAGCGCTTCCTCACTTCGCGATCCTACCCTTACAGGTTTCCATAATACTTTCAAATCCTACGTCACCACCCTCCCCTGCCTTTTTCCTTCCCACTCAGAGGCCAATCTGTAGCTACTGCCACATTCCACAGCTGCTCAGGATGCTCCAGTTCCAGGGCCCCAACGTGGTCTATAGGGGGGTGGAGGCTGGGGAGAACTGCAAGGAGACAGCAGGCCAGATTGTTCCCTCAGGCTGAAATCTGCCCCCACAACCTCCAACCAGTCATCCCCGCCTTCCTTAGTAGGAAGCTGCAGCCCCTCGCCCCGGTGTGGCAAATCCTGACTCAAACCACTAAGACCCTTTCCTGTCACTGACATCTGCCTTTGCTTTGCAAAAAGCCAGCACGACAGCATCAGGAGAGAGAAATGGGAAATTACGTGATGAATTACAAGATGCTAAGCCTGGCTTCACTAGGTGATCAAAGGAGAGTGGTAACTGTAACATTAAATACAACACACATGATCAATTCAGATGCCCCAGAAATCAGACTGGTGAGAATTAAGGTACAGATTCCACTGAGGCTTACCTGTGTACCAGAGAGAATAACATATTTTTTTCTAGCCAAATTTTGAGGATAAACAGATTTCAAGGAAAACATTTACATAAATTTAAAAGCACTCTAGAAGGCTCTTACATCCATATCCATTAGAAGAGCCACGATCTTTATAATGTCACCCTGGAACAATGCAAAACAATTGACATGCTTACCGACCTAACTGTATAATTTAACTTACAGTGATCTTTAAAAAAAAAAAAAAAAAAATGCACCCAGCATTTCCATAGGGGTGTGTGTGTGTGTGTGTGTGTGTGTGTGTGTGTGTCCGAGAACACTGAAAACATACGCCCACACAAAACCTTGTACACAAATGTTCATAGCAGAAA